AGGAAAGTAGGCAGGCTGAGCCGGACTGACAGGCAATCAAGGTTTATTGTTCTCAGACGGGTAGACAGGGACAGGACCAAGCACTACGTCGGACAACGTCAATGACAGAACTGGGGAAACTAACCGAGACGTGGACTAAATACACAAGACAAGCTAAGGGTAACGAGCAACAGGTGAGAACAATCAGGCAGAAACAGGAGGTAACGAGGTGGGCGTGGCACACATTAGGATCGGACGGAGCTGGGCGTGACAATTACTTTGACTTCATTTATTTTGCTTATTGTGATTCCTGTAAGTTAAAATAATCGCTGCTCAAAGGTAACCCCGTCACTTAGCCATGTCATTTTACATTATATGGTACATAATAACCAATTGGTTTTTGTTAACGTATTTTTTTGTTAACGTATTGCATGTTTTGAAGTGGGCTGAACAAGACTAGAAAAAGATCACATTGAGATATTTAGAAGTTTAAAAATAACTATATAGCCAAATGTAGAGCTTATCTGCCTTTATCTTGTCTACCAGTAGGCTGTCAAATAACTTGGTGTTGCCGAAAGTTGTGCCAACAGATGCAAAGCAGTGCCAGCAAATCACTTACTTTTGCTCATTGTCACAAAAAAATACAAAATATTTCTATACAGCAGAATACAAATGCCTTTTTGTGACCAGTTCTTTTTCGCCTTTCTCCTCTTCACTCATTTTTTGCTTAATTTCTTAACAAACATGTCACACAATGAATCAGTCCAACAGAAGGGATGAAAATGATATGATTGTCTTGGTAGATCACATGCAGTGCTCATGCAAAAGCAGCGGTGGTAAACTGATTTTTTAAACCTATGCTAGATAATGCTGAAAAGCAGTTTGGTTTCCTGGGACTAAGTAAATGTTTTAGTGCAATTTATTGTTGGTTTGCAGACTATCGCGGCCCTTGAAATGTGTTGATTGCATGTGCATGAAATGCCATGTTGCTTCTAACATCGCACATCGTACAAGCCTAGCAATATAGTGGCACACTGGGTAGTGCTGTCGCCGCACGGCTGCTTGCGCTCGTGGAGTTTGCACGTTCATCCAGTGTGTGGGTGCCTTTTTGGCACATCTGCCGGTTTCCTTATACCAGTGGTTCTCAACCTTTTTTGCACCCAACCTTGGTTCTCAACCTTTTTTTGCATAACCCAATTTTTACCTTGTCAGCTCAGTTGCAACCTTATATCAAGTATAGGTTTAAATTAATGCTATGATCAAGCGCGCAGTGCACTCTGCAATTTACACCAATCAATGCCTGTTGCACAATTCTGATTCGATGTGTCAGTGAATTTTAAATTAAGCATCTGTGATTTGGCTTCTTGGACTGGTTGAGTGTTCATTAGTGTTGCGCTAAGCTTGTTGGTTTTAAAATGCTTATGTTTTCAACTCCCGACCCATTCACAAGTTGCCGTGACCTAAATTTGGGTTGCAACTCATGGATTGAGAATCGCTGTGTTATACTTTCCAACAACATTAAACTTACTGTAAGTGAACTGGAGTACTTAAATTGACCGAATGTGTAACTGAGTGTGCACCCTGCAACATGTGGTTGGTTCCTGCCTTGCACCAGTTTCAATGTATATATTATATTATATTATATTATATTATATATAAACGATTACTCGATGAATCGTCAGATTAATCTGTAGATTACTAGATTATTAATATAATCGAGAGTGACAGCCCTATTATAAATATAAATATGAAAGTTATGTAATTGACACAGAGAAGGGATAAATGACAAACTACCACCATTTCCAATATCAATTTGAGATCAGTGGGCTAATCCTCTGTGTCTGTGATCAGAGGGTTGCCTGTTCAAGCCCAGCCTCGGCGCATCCACGGGTCCTTGAGCCAGACCCTTAACCCCCAGCTCCCTGGGTGCTGCAACACTTGGCTGCCCTTCACGTCCATCTTGCTCTTACCTACATAGAGCAAGTTGGGAGAGGCATAAAGAGAATTTCCCCACGCGGATCAATAAAGTATCAATTAATTACTTAATTTTGTACTTCAGGTGCTGATTTACATTGTCTGTTTTGAAGGTCCGTCGGCAATACAGAAAGTTCTTTAAATCCAATGCAGGAAAGAGGATATGCAACTTCATCATTCAGAGAACTGTAAGTGGAATGTTTCAGAATCAGCCAATGAATTGTCTTGGGAAGCTAGTGTTTTTGCTTTAATGCAGTGTTGATATTGGGAACTATCTTAACGATTTTTAAAAGGACATTGAAAGAAGCATATGCAGAAAACTGAAATGCATCAGCCGAATGGTGTTCTTTAGAAAAAAAAGCAGTATGACATGATTATAAAAAAGACAGTACAGTAAATTTATCTCTAACAGAATAGGGTGTGATGTGTAGTATGTCCTTCTCTCAGATGCAAAAGTACTTCCTGGAGTTGAAGAAGACACTTCCTTCTATGTCACCCACTGACAAGTCCTGGTCTCCCCACCCCTGTCGGTTCATGGAGGGAGCAGACAAAGAGATTAGGAGAATATTTCATCTCTGGAAGGTCAGCTTATAATACCAGCTACCCTTAATGTACTGAATGTCTTATAGTGTTCATTTTACTTTGCCTTCTCAGTGAATTACAATGAAATTTTAAGGATGTTGAGGGGTGTTCTTAAGTTACACATATGTTATGTGGTAGTTGAATAACTACTGCTTGGTATATATTTTTTGTTCAGATTAGAGATCAAAGACCTTGTACTGTAGACAATGACTTAAGCTAGTATGTCTTGTCTGGTATTCCATTTAACAGTAACATCATACTGCTTACATTTTACTGCATTAATGAACAATTTATATAGTGCTTCTCAAGACACCCAAAATGCTTTTTTTTACCTAACTCAATTGCTGTGAGGAAGTACATGTTCTTGTACTACAGTTTTAGAACTACAATATTTAAGACCGTTTGCTTTTTGATAAATATTGTTTTATCAATGTTTGTCTCACATTACCAGTGCAAGAAATACAGGGACCAATTCACAGAACAAAGAAAGGCCATCTATGAGGAAAAGCTGGCAGCCAGTGAGATCTTTAAGGACAAGAAGGCTCTGTACCCTAGCAGGTAAATTCAGGGGTTGAAAGAATTAGGATTCTCTAATTCTAGGATATGAATTGTAGCCTCACACTCAATTTTGCCTGTACCGTTCCTTCCTTGACTATATATGAGTGAAGTTTGTATGTTCTTATTTCTGTGTGGGTTTCTTCTAGCTGTTCCATGTTCTTATCATAATTTAAAGAGAGTAATTTTAGGTGGATTAGTATTTACTGTAGATTGCTTGTATTATGTGACTTTTTGCCCTGTGCCTATTATTTAGATAAGTAGTTATGGAAAATTAATGTAATCATTGCCATAGAATGTTTTCATTTTACAACCGGCCATTTATTCATGTATTGGTTTCTTTCAGTGTCAGCCAGCCATTCAAAGGGGACTATTTAGAAGTCAACCAAAGCCCCAAATATAAAAAACTCAAAAGCATGCTGGAGGAAAAAGTCATCCTATCAGATGTGGTCAACAAAATCAACAGGGCCAATGGCAAGGCAAGCTCAGTAACTTATCATAATAGTTATTAATAGTATTTCATATGCTGCTACAGGGTGATTTTAATTAAATATGTTGTACTTTGACTTGATCTGTGTAAGCAAATACATGGATGGATCCCAAAACTGCCACTAGTTAACTGGCACTAAACTTTGTTCTCAAATCTGTCTTAAGCCCACAGCTAAATGCGTCATGACTTTCAATGCCCACAATAGGTTTTCTTCCTTCTGTGTTATTTCATGTTCCAGAATTTTTCTAGCATTCTCAAAACATAAGCAAATTTTGACATACTCATGTACATTCCTTACTTTTACTGTGATTTTAAAATCTATATATTGGTTCTGTAACCAGTATTCCAAACCATCTAGCAAGCTATTTCTTCTTTATGTTGATTAGTAAATACACAGATTCATGTCAGTCAGAGATGTTAATATGATCAAAGTATGCATTTGTTCCAAAAATGTAACTGTGTCCATAAACATGATGTTGTGGGGGGATATTTATTTATCACTAGTTGACAAAGTGGCTAACATACAGAATTATGTCGCAACTTTTTGAAGTAAAAGCTATACCTTTATGTCATCTTTAAGAAATAAACCATAGTCTTAATTGTTTTCCTAGCTTAATTAATATCCGTTTGTCATTCATAGGGAGTGGCACGAACATTTCTGCTGACCAAAAACAACTTCATCTTGGCTGATCATAAAACTGGCCATTTTAAGGCCAAGGTTCCTCTGGTAGATCTCCGCAGTATGTCGGTCAGCAGGCTAACTGATGGCTTCTTCGCTTTGCAGTTTAAGGAGGTGTGGTACAGGCCTTGCAACTTCCTCCCCATTTGTAATGTGTAATTTGCAGATTTGCCATGTCAAGCCAAGGTGTAATAGGCTTAGTTGCATTACAGATACAACACACAATCTCTTAAATTACACATTTACTTATGGTACACCATAATTGTCTTTATAAGTCAGATATTTGGAGTAAGAGCAGGATAGGAAAAATGTTTTAGTACCTGACATTAGTTTTAACAAGCTACGTGCATTGTGAAGGAATAAATAATGACTGGTAAATATTATCTGTATTTATTTGTATACTATTGCATATTTGCATGTATTCAACTATAATTAGAATACCTTATTACATATATCACTTGATTGTATGTTATGAATTATGAGAACCTTCTCAAATTTTCTCGTCAAAATATTCTGCAGGAACAGAAAATTGAATTGAATTGCAACAACTAAGAACATGGAAAACTTTTCTTAAAATATGTTATTTCCTAGTTTACCTCATGATGTGTACATTATAGGAATGTTGATTCAGTGTAGCAGTAATAGCTTTAATATAGTGACATAGTTGTGAGATTTTGCTTTTCTTCATTTTCCCACAGGGCTCTGCTTCAGCAGCCAAAGGGGACTTTTTGTTGAGCAGCGAACGGCTGATTGAGATTATAACCAAGCTGCACTGTATCACAGGCTCACCTGCAGAGAGGAACCAGATCAACATCCACATTTTAGATGAGTATGAGCCTATTTGATTTTCTTTTTCTGTATTTCTTTTTAAAATTGTATTCATGTTCTTTTCTTATTGTTTATTATAAAAGCTTCCCCATCACCAGTTCCTTGGGAATATACAATACGAATCTTTGGAGAACACATAGTTTCTCCCACAACAAAAATAATACTACATATAAAATATGATTATAAGTAAAACAGTGGTCAGTTTTTATCATTGCAGCAAGTCCAGTTTTGGCCTGTGGAATGTGAGCTGTTTTCAGACTACTCAAACTGCCTCTCTTTTCAACAGGTTTGTAGTTCATTTCAAACAGGAAAAGGTGTGTGTGAAGTTCATCCAGGGTGAACTCAAGAATGACAGCAGTGCCGCATGCAAGCGCAGAAACAATCGCCTTCTGGAGGTGTCTGTGCCTTCTCTGTAGAGACAATTTAACAACTGAGTACCTCTTCTGCAGTCTTTTCCTCATAGGTTACTGTACTTTTATCAACTGAAATAAATATGAAATTATGATGGTACCAGTGTACCAGAGAGGGGAAAAACTCTGAAAACCTCCCGAAATTGGCATTTTCAATAATATTAAAACTGGAAATCATTTTCCCTCATCCTTGTCACCTTTAATAGGAAAAGAATCAATGAAAAAATTAGTAAATCCAGGCCAGGTTAACCAGATGTAAATAAAAATAATACATGAAACAAAAGGTATTCTCCTTGTCTAGAAATACTATACTTGGTCAAACTTAAATTTGTATCTAAAACAAAATGGTTATGTACATTATTTCCAGTATACTTCATGTTGGAATTTATTGTTGCATGAAACATAATTCGATAATGCTGTGTTGTATTTAATATTACAGACTACATGTTTTTTATTATTTACATCTTAATTCATCTAGCTATTTATTTGACAGGTGTGATGTTCAGGGATAAATGACCCAAAAGTTCCACATAGGATTGACAATGTTCTTGTAACAGCACATAGTTTGATCTCTGTAAAATGCCTCTTTAGACAACCCATACCTGCTAAACTCAAAGTCACGGGGTATGGAACTATCAAAAGATTGTACAGTTTTTACAAAAATTGTCAAGCAGCAGCAATAGGATTGGGATGCTCTGTTTCACTTGCTGTAACATGTGATACCTGTACAAGACAACTACATTTAGAAGAAGTTGGCCAGTGACACCATACTTGTGATATTCCTTTTGATTTTACTGTTGCCAAGGCAATGAATAACCTATGGGTATGGGAGGCTGTTTGGCATGGGCTTTCTGTTTTGAAATAATGCAAACTTTTCTAAGTATAGCTCACAGCTTTGCACTTTGCAATATCTGCAAAAAAAAGTCTTTAAGTAAATGTGCATATCTTTCTCCAGTCAAATCATGTCTACATAGAAGTGCTCCACATTAAAGTTTATGATCTTTTACTGGATATAATTACATTAAAACAATTAGTCATTATGAAAATAAACTGCACCAATGATAATCTCTCTACTCTTTACACTAAACACTAAATCAACTGCAAAAGCTTGTTAAATCTAGAGTAGCTTCCATTATGTAAATGTACTGGTGCATTAAGTAAATCTTTTCCTCATTTGTTCAAAACATCTGGGAAGTGTTCATGCAGTATGCATACCTTCATTCTCAAAAAGTAACCATATTGTAACTAATTTAACTGTGTTTCTAACTGCAATTCATTTAAATAAAATCAATGGAAAATAAAACTTTGGCAAATGCACAACACAGTGACAGGAAAATTTGTTTCTTTTTGTGCAAATATGCACCAGTCAAACTGTGTATCACGCTGTTATCTGCATACATGTCAATAACAGGGAAAGCACCATTGAGAGCACTATCAGAAGTTTCCGTTTCGGGGGGCTGAAAACTATGGAATAGTGTGTACAAAGAGCAAAAGTTTGTGTTTTTAAATGAAAATGTGGTGTGCTGCTCAGCAGACCCAGGCTACAGAGCAGCTAAGCAAGAAATGAGGCAACATGTTGCACACAACCGGGCTTTTTTTGTTAGCAGCCCTTGAAAGGACTCAACACAAGCAACAGCATACCTCACAGTTCACCAAAATACCACCACCAACATCCCTCTACCACACATAACAAGGAAACTTGGGGAAGTCTCATTATACGCAGTGGATTCCACACACAGTAATTACAAACTGGCTAAAGATATGTGAAGATTAGTCAGGAGTCACACATTACTATGAGAGGCTGATTAGGGTGACACACCAAAACACATACTACCTGCTTATACTCACATACTACAGGATTATACTTGTTCACATGCACATACTACTTGCTTATACAATATATCGACAAAATCATTAGGATGCATCATTGAATTCAGGCGTTTCATTCAGACCCATTACCTCAGGTGTATAAAATCAAGCACCTAGCCATGCAGTCAGGTTTATTGCAAAGAGGCAGCATTTAGGAACTCCACGTAAAGTAACATAGCATCATAAAAGTTCCGTGTATACATGTGCCTGGAAATAATTTCATTAAAGGAACAGAAAGGGCTTAAAGTGCAGTGCAGTTCCAAAGGTCAATTAAACATGAAGAAGTCGCTGTTCCTGTACATTTTGATTGACTGTTAAAGGGAAGTGCACTTGGTTCTGCTCCTTGGGCACTGAATTAGCTGTTACAACGTCACATATGGGTTGCAGAGGACACATTTCATTGTTGCGCACTGTGTGACGTGGTACAGGTATGTCAACAATGACCACTGATCACTAAATTCTAAAAATCCTTGCTTCCACATATTGCATTGTGTTGAACAGAGAGCTGTCAGGATCACTTGATTAAACTTGATTATTAAAAAATCAACTATAAGTTCTTTTCTCGATTACTCGGTAACATGGTGGAAATAAGATGGCACAGTGTCCAAATTCAGATGTTACAGATAGGCATGATGAAGGTTGGAGGATCCACATTGTGGCTTACAAGGACGGGACTCTATTGTACTCAACAAAAACACAAGAGACAAAGGACCATAAGGCGTCAAAAACAAAGTAGGTGAAAGACAAAAACGGGGCAACAACCATATTCGAATAGCAGCAAATACAGGGCATCAACAGCTACAAACATACAATGACCAACTCAAGCGCAAGGGCAGGCACATATATACAGATAACTAGGGTAAGACAAGGGACAACTGAGGGCCAATTACAATAAAACACTAGGGCTGGGAACAAGACAACACAGGAAAGGGTCATATTGACACAGGACTCAAACACTAAGGGGTGACTAACGGCTTTTTGCATATCTCAGCATGCTTGTGAGCCGTGTAAATAGCTCCTGTATGTATTTGCTATTGTAAGAACTTGTGTTCTCCTGCTTGTTGTGTGTGTCCTTACTGCGTCATATGAGAACCCAGTCCAATCCTTGTGTGTCTTTAGCCATTGTATACATTACCCATGGTGTGTGTGTCAGATCTCCCTGCGTTTCCACGTTATGTGCTGTCAGAGTTGTGGTTGTGATTTTTGTGTAGTCCTTTTAAGGACCATTATTAAAGAACAAATTCTTTTTAAAACTATGGTGTTGTTTCTCTTCCTGCCACTGCAATGCCTGTGTCTGCCAGACATTACATTGGTGCCAGAAGTAGGATGCCAGTAGTGACCCCACTTGGGCTGCTGAAGCGGGTCCTCCTGGACATTGCTCTGGCTCCCACTCCAGGCTGGCAGACCTGCGGGCATCTGTGGAGCAGCGGAGCAGGAGAAACAGACTTTGTGGCAAGGCCAGCACAGGAATGCAGGTGTAGCAACAGGGAGCTCATCTGCGGGTGTTGCGCGGAGAAAGGGGACTGGTCACACTGCTGCTCCGAAGCCCACACCAGAGCTGCACACACAGAGCAGCATCTCCTGTCCTTCCAAAGCGTGGGCAGACACTTCGTAGAATTTGAACACTACACAAAAACCATTTGGTCCATCTGTAATGTCATTCGTCAAGGAGAATTAGCTGAATTGATAGAATGTAGTGCTGTATTGGAGTCCTTATATTAGTACCAGCAATTGTTGCTGGTCACCCCTTTCCTAGTGTTTGAATCCTTCGTGATTACGACCCTCACCTGTGTCTTGCTGTTCCTAGCCCTGCAGTGTCTGGCCGATTGTAAATGGGCCCCACCTGCCCTACCCTCATTATCAGTGTATATACAGCTCCGGAAAAAATTAGGAGACCACTCTATTTAAAAATCTGCCTTTTTAAATCCTGCTTTAATCCTGGCTCTCTTGGTAGAAGGCTCAAAGTTTCTAAGACAGCAGGACACAAGAGCAACGTGAAGCAAAAGACGCTGGCAGTAACCAAAAAACCAGCCAGGTAGAGGGCAGAAGCAACTTACTAATGCCAGAAGTGACCTTCAAAAACAATGGGACACATTAAGTGGTGTGAAGGACACTGCTAGAGCTATTCAGAACAGGTGCCTAGAAGCAGGACTATAGACCCATAAAGCAAGGAAGAAGCCCTTTATCAATGAGAAGCAGGGAAGAGCCAGGCTGGAGTTTGCAAAAAAAAAGAAGTATATTTTACTCAAGTGTATACCCATAAACTGAGAAATGAGCGAAACTGAACATTATGTGGTGGTCTCAATTTTTCTAGAGTTGTATGTACGTGTCCTTGCCTTTGTTCCTCAGCTTGTCATTGTGTTTGTAGCTGTTGTTGCCCAGTGTTTGCTGCTCTTCTGCTATGGTTGTTCCTTTGTTGCCTCCTTTCTTAGTTTTTGTCTTTACCTACTTTGTTTTTGAGCCCTCATGATCCTTCTCTTTCCTTTTTTATATTGGAGCATAATAAAGCCCCATCCTTGTAAGCTGCAATGGGGATCGTCCATCCTTCATCATGCCCATCTGTAACAGAATGACCAACTCAACTTGGCGTTCTCAAGGCTCGACCATGCTGGAATTTGCCCTCACCTGACTGAGTAGCACATTGTTCAGAGCACTGCACATACAGTAGGTGGACTTTCAGAATTGTTGCTGCACACTGGATAAATACATAGCGTGTCCAGGTTACAGCTCAACTTCCTCTGAGAGGAGACTATTTTTCCAGCATCAAACAAGCACAAGAGAGAACCAGGCAACTAGAAGTATATATATACAACCCAGCTGGCACCATGGCTGCCTTGAAATCTAACCCCTACATTGTGCAGATTGTTACTGAACATACTCCGCCTGCCTGCGTAGCATGCTAGAGACTTTTTAGCAGTGTATAGGTGTGATCTTTAGCCCTAAAAGAGTATGCCTTGATGCAAAGAATTTTGAAAAACAACTTCTGCTGAGTTTAAATAGAACATTCTGTAAGGCATTTTAAAGAGGAGTTTGTAACACTGGAGAACATGTTTTTGAAAATGGTTATTGTTTTATTTGTAGAGTTAATTCATGGATAACAAATAAGGCAGTTTTTAGTGTTGTAGTTCTCGAGACCGGTCTTGGTCTCGAGAC